CCCCCACCCCAACACACACACTCTGTCTCTCTCTCGAATAAATAAATCTTTAAAATATAAATAAATAAATAAATAATTATTGGTAAGTGTAGACTTAATTGCCATTTTGTTCATTGTCTTCTGGCAGTTTTGTAGTTCTTCTGTTCCTTTTTTCTTTCTCTTATGTAATGCTTCTTATTCCTAGAATGTCACGTTGTGTTCTTTCTGGGTGGTAGTTAAGAAGTCTTAATAGTAAAAATAGTTCGTGTTTACCAAGCAATCATAGTAGTCATTGTTCAACTAGTCATTATTCTAAGTGGTTTACATATATACATTTAGTTAATACGTGTAAATCATTAACTGATTTCATGTTCATAAAATGCTAAAAGAGAAAGTGGAGAACTTGGTAATGAGAAAGTACATATCTTGTTAAAAATTTATGATGAGGGGCACCTGGGTGGCTCAGTTGTTAAGCGCCTGCCTTCGGCTCAGGTCATGATCCCAGGGTCCTGGGATCGAGCCCTGTGTCGGGCTCCCTTCTCAGCGGGAAGCCTTCTCCCTCTCCCACTCCCCCCTGCTTGTGTTCCCTATTTTGCTGTCTCTCTCTGTCAAATAAATAAATAAAATCTTTAAAAACAAAAAAATTTATGATGATTTCAGGGGTGCCTGGGTGGCTCAGTCAGTTAAGCCTCTGCCTTTGGCTCAGGTCATGATACCAGGGTCCTGGGATGGAGCCCCATGTCGGGCTCCCAGCTCAGCGGGAAGTCTGCTTCTCCCTCTGTCTCTGCCCCTTCCCCCACTCGTGCTCACTCTCTTGCTCATTCTCTCTCTCAAATGAATAAATGAAATCTTAAGAAAAAATTTATGATTTCAAAACAGAGTTAGTTTTATACCCTGACTGCAAATTTCCCAGTGTCTCTAAATGTCTGAGCTACCCTGCTCCTTTCCATGAATGAGGCAGAATTATTGGGATGCCTGGGTGGCTCAGTTGGTTAAGTGTCTGCCTTTGGCTCAGGTCATGATCCCAGGGTCCTGGGATCGAGCCCCACATCAGGCTCGCTGCTCAGCAGGGAGCCGCTTCTCCCTCTCCCTCTGCCTGCTGCTCCCTTTGCTGTGCTCTCTTGCAAATAAATAAATAAAATCTTTTTAAAAAATTTAGGCAGAATTATTGGTGATACAACTGACAAAAGCATTTTCTTCATCTTGAGAACTAACTTTAACAATCCTATGTTGCATAATTATTCAGAGTGCTCTTACTAGATAGGCATCCAGAGGCCTCTTTTTATAATTGTGGAAAGCAGGGCTCAGAGAGGGAAAATGATTTTTATAAAATTCTTATCTCTGAGCAAATCCCTGCTAGATTGCTAGGGTCTGCTGTGATACTTCTCAGGCTATAATTCCCCTTTAAAGTGTCCTTTGAGAAATTTTGTAACTCCTCTTTCCTGAATAAAGTTGTCTTTACTTCCTGAATAAAGTAATGTGCTAGCTTTCGTCCTCTAATTTGCTTGAAAAAAAAAAAATCTCCTTTTGGGGTAATCTGAAGTCAGCAGTATACCTCCCTATTCCTTCTCTCCCAGGGCAGTGGCTCCTAAACCTGGCCCTGCGTGGGAATTATCTGGAGAGTCATTAAAAATCTATGTCCCCGGGCCCACATACCAGGGCCCCAGAACATGTATTTTTAACATGAGCTCCAGGTGATTCTCATGAAGATGGTACCTACTATTTGGGAACCACTGTGCCAGGGGACATGGCACCCCTCCCTGGAGATAAGAGCAATGGCAAATGGGAACAAGTCCCTGTTTCTGACCTCTCCTGCTTTCTTAGTAGATGAATGGTCCTAAAATAGCGCCGGTCCACTCAGTCCAGCTGCCTCTGGCTCAGGGCACTAATGTGGACATATTTTTTCTCATTGTTTTGTTAACATTCTGCTTCCTCAAGAAGTTGATGTCAGAATCAACGAAGATTCTATTTGGCAACTCAGCCTCTTGCTACAGTCCTTTTCCTCCTGCCTGTTATGTACTCCCAGGTGTGGACTGAAAAGTTCGACTCTCTGGAATTATCCTCAAGTGTTTTGAATTTCCCCGGAGAACATTTTAGATAGTGGGATGAGCGAGTGTTCTGGAGTCAGGTAGATCTGGGTTTGATTCATATTCTGTTTGGCAACACATTAGCCAAGTTGATTAAGGAGGTAGACCTCAGTTTTCTCATCTGTAATATGGGGGTTGATGATAACTTCCTTGGAAGGTTGTGTGAAGGTGAGAGACTATGTATATAAAACACTCGAGACAGTGTCTGGCCCGTATTATGTTCCCAATAAATCTTTAAAAATAACACTTTAAAGATCATTGTAGATCACAAAGAAGGAAAATATGGCTTTGTGAAACTGTTTAGTGAACAGTTTCTTCCTAAACAAAATACATGGATGTGACAGATGATGTGTATCTTGAGCGTGGCTGGTAGATAATGTAAGCAAATCTAAATTATTTGGCAACAAGCTCATTTCTCCAAATGTATGTTTCCCTGGTAGCAATTATTGGATCCCTCTCTCTTCAATAGCACGATCTAGAATAGGTTTCTTTTAAAAACTTGTTTCCCTATGTATTCCTTTTTAAAAAAACAATCTTATTAAAGTATATTTGACACACAGTGTTCTGTTAGTCTCAGGTGCACGGCATAGTGATCTGACAATTCTGTATGTTAATACATTCACCACAATAAGTGTAGTCACCATCCGTCACCGTACAACATTATTACAATTATTGGCTGTATTCCCTATGCTGTGCTATTCATGTCTGTGTGACTCATTTATTTTCTGACTGGAAGTTTGTACCTCTTAATCCCCTCCATCTACTTCACCCAATTCCCCCAGTCACCTACCCTCTGGCAACCACCACATTGTTCTCTGTATTTATAAGTCTGTTTCTGTTTTGTTTGTTCATTTGTTTTGATTTTGATACCACAAATAAGTGAAATTATATGGTGTTTGTCTTTATCTGACTTATTTCACTTAGCATAATACCCTCTAGGTCCATCCATGTTGTCACAGATGGCAGGATCTCGTTCTTTTTTTTATGCCTCAGTAATATTCTATTGTATATAGATACCACATCTTCCTTATCCATTCATCGGTCAATGACACTATTGTAAGTAATGCTTCACTGAACATAGGGATCCGTATTTCTTTTCAAATTAGTATTTTCATTCTCTTTGGGTAAATACTCAGTAATAGGATGACCAGATCATATGGTATTTCTATTTTTAATTTTTGGAAGAAACTCTACACTCTTTTCCACTGTGGTGATACCAATTTACATTCCCACTAACAGTACACAAGGGTTGCTTTTTCTCCACATTCTCACCAACATTTGTCATTATAATTGGTCTTTTTGATACTAGTCATAACAACAGGCATGAAGTGATATCTCCTTGTTGTTTTGGTTTGCATTTCTCTGATGATGAATGATGTTGAGTATTTTTTCATGTGTCTGTTAGCCAACTGGATGTCTTCTTTGGAGAAATGTCTGTTCAGATCCTCTGCCCACTTTTTCAACAGATTATTTGTTTTTTCAGTGTTGAGTTGTATAAGTTCTTGATAAATTTTGGATAGTAATCCCTTATCAGATATACTATTTGCAAATATCTCCTCCCATTCAGTAGGTTGCCTTTTTCTTGTGTTGATGGTTTTCTTTTCTGTGCAAAAGGATTTTGTTTTGGGTCTCAATAGTTTATTTTTGTTTTTGTTTCCCTTGCCTGAGGAGACATTTCTAGAAATATGTTGTTAAGGGCAATGTCCAAGAGATTTTTTTTTTTTTTCCTAGGAGTCTTGGGGTTTCAGGTCTCATAGTTAGGTCTTTAATCTGTTTTGAGTTTATTTTTGTATATGGTGTAAGAAACTGGTCCAGTTTCATTTTTTTTACATGTAGCTGGCCAGTTTCCCCAACATGATTTATTGAAGAGATTGCCTTTCCCCCCATTGTATGTTCTTGCCTCTTTTGTCATAGATTAATTGACCATGTAAATGTGGGTTTATTTCTGAGCTCTCTATTCTGTTCTGTTGATCTATGTGTCTGTTTTTATGCCAGTACCATACTGTTTTGATTAATAAAGCTTTGTAGTATATCTTGAAATCTGGATTTGTGATGCCTCCAGCTTTGTTCTTTCTCAAGATTGCTTTGGCTATTCAGGGTCTTTTGTAGATTCTTACAAATTTTAGGATTATTTGTTCTAGTGCTGTGAAAAATGCTATTGGTATTTTGATAGGGGTTGCATTGATTCTGTAGATTGCCTTGGCTATTATGAACATTCTCTGTTTGGTTCTTAAAATGAGTAGGGAAGAAAATTAAAGAAAAAGATCATGTGGGCAGACGCTGATCTAGTCAAATGCTGGGCAGATAGCATGACCAGGCAAAGTCTTAAAAAATTCTGTATCAACATAGTCAGGAGAAGGAAGCCTGTCTTATGTAAACCAAGAAAAATAGAAAAACAGAAAAGCGGGCAAAAAAAAAAAGTCCTTTTACTGGTAGAGATCTGCAGTTGAAACAAGTGCTTTCAGATGAGGTATCTCTCATTCAGTTAGAATTCTGCCTTCATCACCTTACAGCTGGATGTACCTGGGTCTTTTTTTTTTTTTAACTCCTTTGAACTTCACTTTCCTCAAAATCAAAATTAAGTTAATAGTTTTAACTTAATAGGACTACTGGGAATGTTAATTAAAATAATGTGTGTAAACCTTTATATTTCATAGGTGCAGTAGATACTGAAGAATATATAATTTGGCCATGACTTCAATATATATGGTGGAATAAAATAATGTTAGGGTAAATGAGATGTCAGAAAATGAAGTAAAAATCCCAAACTAGGAGGTGTCGCATGGAATTTTAGCCTGCCTCTTTCCCCCACCCAAGTTTACTTACGTATAGAATTTCCCCCTCCGTAGGAACTAGGTTTGTGGGCAGGAACTTTAATTTCATCTTGGACTTTCAAGAACCACATTGTTCATTTCTGTTTTCCTTAAAATGCAGGTGCGCCTATTATTATATCTTTCCCACACTTCTACCAAGCAGACGAGAAGTTTGTTTCTGCCATCCATGGTATGCATCCAAATAAGGACTATCATGAGACGTTTGTGGACATTAATCCTGTAAGTACACACATCTTCCTGGTAAAAGCATGGATTTTATTCTGTCTACACAATGTTTATCAGTTTAGTCCTGAGCACTGTTAAAATACTGTCTTCTTTTCATATACATATTCAAGGAGAGAAGACTCAGCTCAGTGCATGTGATACCTAGTCGCATGGCCTTACAGGCTGAACTCTATGGCTCTAATAGGCAGATATAGCAGCAAACCTGCTTTAACAAAAAAGCACCTGTAAACATTGCATCACTGGAACAACTGAGATTGGACCCATGTAACCTGGTCAGTGTTCCATTGCCAGCCTTGGACTTGAGCGTATATGCGTTCTCCCACGGGCAGACAGATCAGCAAGGTTGAAGACATACATTCTTTTTTTGCTTACTGCCGGGAAAGTTTTGGTTGAAATTTAAATATATGTATTAGCTTCAGTTACTTTTGGCAAGCCTCATTCTTTTGAGAGTTTATTGTATGATATTAATTTAAAAGGCATTAGATATACATATACTTTAATCCTGTTTTCAAAGAGGAGATAAACTAAAATCACGTGAAAAGGAAGGGAATAGCATTTCATAATGTGAGAGAGCCTCTCACTGTGGGAACCGAGGTAAAGGTCAGATATCTTCATTCTGGGGATTTTGAACACATGGAGCAGTAAAGAAAAAGCGATAACAGTCTTTTAAGCACAGCAATTTATGGGCACTTCACTCTTGTATCTGAGAAATCAATGGTCTTATCTTTTTGTGAAAAAGATCAGGTGTTTCTTCCCCCGCCCCTTTCTCTCTTAACCTTCAGTCAGTTCCTCTTCCTCAGCGGAACTGTGGGCAGGTGCTTGTCCCCGAGGGCTGGGTGCAGTCCCTTAACCTCAGTGCAGAGGCGAAGCGACCCTGGGGAGCCAGCAGCCGCAGCTGCTTTCCCAGCTTTGGGCCGGGGAGGTCCTGACCATCCTGGGGACGACCCTCTGGCTAGAGCTCCCTCCTGCCAGGGTCGCCTAGGGCTTCGCTCTCCGAAGTTGCGCATCCTGGGTGCTTGCTAGAAATACCCAATGTCAGGCTTCACTCCAGACCTGCTGAATCAGAATCTGCATATTCACAAAGTCCCCAAGAGCTCACACGCATATTAAAGTTTGAGAAACACTGGTCCAACAGGCACCCGACCACATCCGCAGTTCTCATTCTGTCGGGGGTCAGGGTTTCCTTGTCCCCCCTTCCTCTCAGACATGGCAGCGGCCACCCTGGCTGTGAGCACCACACAGAAACGCTGCCCTATTGAGAAAAACTCTGTTTGTGGTTTTAATAAGCCCTAATGTTTCCTTTTTTGCTTCTCTGATTGGCAGTTGACTGGAATTATTCTCAGAGCTGCAAAGAGGTTCCAGATCAACGTTTATGTCAAGAAGTTAGACGACTTTGCGTAAGTTTTACTTCTTTCATCAGAGGCAGCGGGTCATTTTGCTGCATTGACTTCCTGGTGGGGTCGACGTGAGGAGACAGCCCACTAGGTCCGCTCACTTCTGCCCTACAGGGATGAGGCATAACTGGCATTCGCATAGGCTGCCTTGGTCTTGGAATTTACTTATTCTATGTCACCAAACATGTATAGCGTGCTTTCCATGGCTACAGAGTCTGCATCTCCCCACACTGTGCAGCGTTGCCCTTGCCACGACTCCGGTCACCTCCCTTCCTGTCTTCCCGCTGCGCCCACCCAGGGCCAGCCACAGGCTCCCAGTCGGGCAGTTAAAATAGGCTCCTGAGTCCAGCCCTTCCTCCCCACTGTCCATCTAAAAACCACCGCTTAATTAGGATTACTAATTAAGGATTATGTAATTAGGATTACTAAAAGTCCTGCTCAGACTTTTGTTTTTTTTTTTAATTTTTATTTATTTATTCACGAGAGACAGAGAGAGAGAGAGAGAGGCAGAGGGAGAAGCAGGCTCCCAAGGAGCAGGAGCCCGATGCGGGACTCAATCCCAGGACCCCGGGATCATGACCTGAGCCGAAGGCAGACGCCCAACCATCTGAGCCACCCAGGCGCCCTGCTCAGACTTTTCAATGGGAATTTTTTGGATATGAGAAAATGCTTATGACTTAATGTTAATGAAAAAACAAGTTGCAAAACTACACGTAATATCATATATCTATTCTTTCTATCTATCTATCTATCTATCTATCTATCTATCTATCTATCTATCCATCTATCCATCTATCTATAACACTTGGCTCCCCCATCAAATTTGCAGATTTAATCCCACATGTCATGGATCTTTCTAGAAAGTAAATGTGGTTTGCAAGAACGCATTTTGCCACCCCTGTGCACATTCCTGAGGCAGTATAAATTAGTAGTTAAGACCTAGAGCCTTAGAATCAAAATGAAATTACAATCCTGGCTCTACCTTTTACTCATGTTGGTCCTGGGCAAATGACTCTGAGCCATAATTTCCATGTCTTAAACCTGGGACTGGTTTACATAAAACTATATACTGCATGCGATTAGTGTGACAATTAAATGAGATAGTGTCCCCCAAACACCAGGCACAGAGCTGGTTCTTGGTAATGTGCTTTGGGCTCTAGTGAAGACAATACTTAGTGGCCTGGTCATAAAACATTCTGAGGAGGGGCGCCTGGTGGCTCAGTCGATTAAGCATCTGACTCTTGATTTCCGCTCAGGTCTTGACCTCAGGGTCATGAGTTCAAGCTCTGCGTTGGGCTCCACGTGGAGCCAAAAAAAAAAAAAACATTCTGAGGAGTGGCAGCATTGTTCAGCTGGCTGTGGCCATCCTTCTGATAACTCTTAAGAGAATAGTAATCATTTTGATGTATTTGCTCTCAGCATCTTGGGTTTTCATAAAACTTGGAATTGTTGGCCTGACAGATTGGAATCTAACTTCTGATGGATAAGTGTTTGCAAAGATAACTAAGAAGTCTTTATAAGTTCTGGGTAATTTAATGAAGTAAGTGTGCTGGAATTTTCATATAAACTTCTCTCTCCAGGGGGGCACCTGGGTGGCTCAGACGGTTAAGCATCCATCCGGCTCTTGATTTTGCCTCAGCGCTTGACCTCAGGGTTGTGAGATCCAGCCCTGCATCGGGCTTCACGCTCAGTGGGGAGTCTGCTTGTCCCTCTCCCTTCCCCTCTGCCCCACCCCCCGCTCATGCAACTTATCTCTCCAGGCCAGTGTGCTATCATAATGAGGATGCCTATAAAATAATCTCAGATATTGTCTTTTTTTATCCAGGTATGATTGACATACAACATTATGTTAGTTTCAGGTATACAATATAATGATTCAATATTTATATGTATTGCAAAAGGATCAGCCCAATAAGTCTAGCTACCCATAACCACACTAGGTTCAGATTTTTTTTTCTTGTGATGAGAACTTTTCAGATGTACTCTCTTAGCAACTTTGAACTGTGCGTTACAGTATTATTTACTATAGTTGCCATGCTGTACGTTACATCCCTATGACTTACTTGTTTTATAACTGGAAATTTGTACCCTTTGACTCCCTCCACCCATTTTGCCCACCCCCCAAACCCCAACTCTGGCAACCACCAATCTATTCTCTGTGTCTGTGGGCTTGGTTTTTTTGTTTTGTTTGTTTGTTTTTGATTCCACATATGAGGGAAAATATACAGTATTTGTGTTTCTCTGATTCACTTAGTGTAGCATCCTCAGGGGCCATTCTTATTGTCACAAATGGCAAGATTGCATTCTTTTTTACGGCTAAATAGTATTCCAGTGTGAATATATACCATGTTTTCTTTATTTATTCATCCATTGATGGACACTTTGGTTGTTTCCATATCTTGGTTACTGGAAAAAATACTGCAATGAACATAGGGGTGCATATATCTTTTCGAGTTAGTGTTTTTGTTTTCTTTGGCTAAATATCCAGAAGTGGAAATGCTGCATCACATGGTAGTTCTCTTTTTAATTTTTTGAAGAACCTCCATGCTGTTTTCCACAGTGGCTGTACCAATTTACCTTCCCTCCAACAGAGCACAAGGATTCCCTTTCATCCACATCCTCACCAACAGTCACTGCATTTTGCCTTTTGATACTAGCCATTCTAACAGGTATGAAGTGATATCTCGTTGTGGTTTTCATTTGTCACCTTTTGTCTTTATAGTGAAACGGGGAACATTAGAACCCTGGTTTTCCCAGTGATGTATATTAATGAGGTAAGTTCTGGGAGGGAGCCATGGGTATATTTTACTTGTGAAAGCTTGGGAAACTTCCATTTTGATGTCTACTATTGTAGCTATGTAATTTAAGACGTGAGAAAGGGGGAAAGGTGATTTTTAACAACCTGTTTGTCCTCAGAAAATGTCTGTTTATATATTTACATGAGGCTGCCTGTGTTTGAGATTTGAAAATGACAAAAAATTTCCTTTCTCAAGAATATATTTTGGGTGAAACTCTCTTTCTGGACAGCTGGTTATGTAAGAAACAAAATGCAGAGGTAAATGATCACCTGCTGCCTCTGATGAAAGAAGTAAAACTTACGCAAAGTCGTCTAACTTCTTGACATAGACGTTGATCTGGAACCTCTTTGCAGCTCTGAGAATAATTCCAGTCAACTGCCAATCAGAGAAGCAAAAAAGGAAACATTAGGGCTTATTAAAACCACAAACAGAGTTTTTCTCAATAGGGCAGCGTTTCTGTGTGGTGCTCACAGCCAGGGTGGCCGCTGCCATGTCTGAGAGGAAGGGGGGACAAGGAAACCCTGACCCCCGACAGAATGAGAACTGCGGATGTGGTCGGTTGCCGGTTTTTTGTTTTGTTTTGTTTTTGCTTTCTGATAAACCAACATATATCACGAATTATAGGACACAGATCCTGTCAGAGTTTAAACAAAAAGAATTTCCCTAACAAAATACTTCTTTCTTTCACACTGTACCCACAGAAATTTTATCCCTAAGTATTAGGTATAAATTAAAGTTTTGCAAATAAAAACATTTTCAGAAAGCTCAGAAAAACCTGCTATTTAAGACACCTGTGATAAATTCTTTTCTGAATCACATGCATTTACTGTATAAATCTCCTCAGTTTCCCTCTTTCTTCCACCCAGTTTTGAGGGGGAACATGCAGGGGTTTTCCCTCTCCGATAAATTCTTGATCGGCTTGCTTCTATTGTTAGCGGCATTTTTAAAGTTTTTATTATTTTTCTCTGTTCCCTAAAAACAAACAAACAAAACAAACAACAACAACAACAAAAAACTTGTTCTGTATAGAAAATTCAGTAACAGGGATTGGCAAGAAAAAGGAAATTACAATAACTTTCACAAAAACTGGGCCAGACTGACATTGTTCTTAACTTGCTTATTTTACTCAGCAGCGTGTTGTTAAATTGTTTCCAATAATAACTTTGTAAAAAGTAATTTGCACTTTGTAGAACTAACATATGCTCTTTATAGAGCTCTTGAAAACTAAAAATATATATTTTAAAAGTGAATCACCATACAAATATTAAATCATTATATTGTACACCCAAAACTAATCTGTTTATGTCAATTATACCTCAATTGAAAATTTTAAAAAATCTTTAAAAAAGCACATCACTGACGACCTGTCCCTCAGAAACAAGTACAGCTGACATCTGCTTATGTTGCCTCTTAGTATTTTTCTGGTTTTGATATGAGGTAGTTGAGACCATTCCATAGATACGGTTTTATAACCTTTTTTTGATTCGGCATTACTTCGTAGCCATATTTATAAACTTTGGAAGGATTTGCGATTACAGTTCTAAGATGAGGCTTTTATTGTTTCAGAGGAAAAATGTAGGCAATATTTACCAACTTATGGGATCTATTTGCAGTTGCTCCTGAGTCATCATTGTTATTGTTTGTGGAGAAGGACACGAAAGCAGGGCTTTTTGAAAATGAGGAAGGACCCTGTTCTGCCAACTTATGTTCATAGTTGTGTTCATATTTGAAGTCCCCTCCAACTCAACCTTTGCTTTGCTTTGCTTTTTTGTTGAAGACTGTATTGAGTCCAGGGAATTATGGAGTAAAACCTTGTGCTTTTGGTGCCTTCTAGAAAGAACTTGGCTTTACTCTAGAAAAAGGAAACATTAGACCTTGAAGTGACCTTGGAGACTGCTCTCCCACCTCCTTTTTCCAGAGAAGGAGACTCAAACACTGATGGATCTTGGCCAGTTATTGGAAGCACCAGCCCTAGAAACCCATCCTCTGCCTCAGTCTAGTGCAGATTCAGCGTAAATTAAGCCCAAAGTTCCATTTGTTGCTCATAATTTTTATGAAATTAAGCTCTCCAGACACCTCACCCATTACAATTTAAAGAGATAAGATCTTTGTTCTGCATCCAGAAAGTGTTATTCTAGAACATTTTCTTGGTTATCAATACCCTCTGGAATTCTAGTGAGCCTCAAGACTTCTTCGGACACTATATTGAGACCTCTGGTCTTTTTAAGAAACTTTTTTTTAAGAAACATTTTTTTTAAGATTTTATTTTTAAGTAATCTCTACACCTGATGTGGGGCTCAAACTCACAACCCAGAGACCAAGAGTCATGCACACTACTGACTGAGCCAGCCAGGGCCCCGAAACCTCTGGTCTTGATTACTAGAGATTTAACCAAGACAGTAATTATACTTTCCACATACCATTGTTGGAATATTTCATTCTTTCAATCACTGGCATTAATTTAGCACCTACTATGTGCAGAGTGCTATTCCTAATGTTGAGGTGACAGAGATATATAAGTCTTGCCTTTGGAAACCTTACAGTCACAAGGAGACCTACAGATCAACAGACAGTTACAACACAGAGTGTTGGGGGGTTTTAGGGAGTGATACGGAAGCCTAGTAAAAGGACCTTTAACAGGCCTGAGTTGGCCAGAGAAAACTTCTGGATAAAAGTTATGCTGAGTTGGATATTAAAGGATGAGTTGGAGTTGTCTGATACAAAAGATGGTATTATCTCATTATTTTTTAATACTTTTTCCTTCCTACTTCCAACCTAATTTGAAAGGAAGACATTTTTTAGGAAAAAAAATAAGATGTTAATGAATAAATGCCCCCACTGCTTACTCTAATTTATAAATGAATTTTTGGTATCTTTGGTTTGCTAACAGGAAGACTCACCCAAATTGTGTTTAATGATTTTGAGGAAAGATGTAGCAAAAATCTCTATACCCTGAATATTTAGTAATCAAGGGAATACTATTTTCTTGCCTTCCAGAGTGTTCTCATTGATAAAGAGACTGCAAGTCGACTGAAGTCTGTGATTAACACTACTCTGATCATCACTAACATACCCTACATTGTCATGGCCCTGGGTGTGTTCTTTGGTTTGATCTTCACCTGGCTTGCATGCAAAGGACAGGGATCCATGGATGAGGTAAGTGGTGGCTGGAGGAACTTCTCTCTTACTGGGTAACTTTACCTGTGGGAGTCAACTCTGCTTCATTGAAGGGCTGTCAGCTGGCTCCATCACCCAGTTGATGGAATCCTCAGGGTGGATTCTGAGGTTTTATGCTGGGCACAGTGATTTCATGGTTATATTACTCTTAAACCAAATGAGAAGCAAGGGGAGTGTGTCAAAAGGGAGGAGTAATACAATGGTATTGTCCAGGATTTGGGGCTGGCTTGGTGGGCATGGAATCCCTGGGAGTAAGCTTAATGTTTCTGAAAATAATGGAAAGGAGAGGAAGAATATTTAACAGCTAAACATCTGGGCTTTGGTGTCAGACTGCCTGCATTCAAAACCCAGTTCTGCCACATTGGCTGGGCGGCACTAGAAAATGTGCCTCAGTTCTTCATCTCTCATTATCTCACTTTAGGAGTTTTTTTTGTGAGGATTAGAGGATATAGTAAACAGAAGGCACTTGGCCCGGTGTTAGCATTTTGTAGGAGCTCAGTAAGCATTAGTTATGTGATGAAACAGTTCGAAGATTATAGAGCAAGACAACCAGAGACCTGCTTGGAAGGAATTGTAATATATCAGAAGATAGCTGTCACTGAGTCATCATTGCACACGAAATGACTGGCACAGGAGAGCTGTAACTTTCGTGGAGAGAAGGGCACCCCCTCAAATGGATGCGATAAACAGGGTTAGGTTGGCTTCTCTAAGTGACCAGCCGGCCAACCCAGCTCAGCCGTCAACGAGCCTTTCCTGTGGGGGCCCTTCTTAAATTCTTAGCAACGTCCCTTTTTGCAACAAAGGCTTTTCCCCCCCTTCTAGCTGCTTCAACTAAGTGTCTGAGGCAAATGTGAAGTAGGAAATAGGTTGAAACCATCTGAATAGTATTAGCTCAGATTTCCCTGTGTTCTGCATTCTTCCATGATTTCTCTTAACCTGTGCCCATCAGGTTAGCGTGAATTAAGCGTGAGGTAATTATTTTGCCATTTCTTTTTTTTTAAGATTTTATTCATTTATTTATTTGAGAGAGCGAGAATGAGAGAGAGAGAGAACATGTGAGAGGGGGGAGGGTCAGAGGGAAAAGCAGACTCCCTGCCGAGCAGGGAGCCCGATGTGGGACTCGATCCCGGGACTCCAGGATCATGACCTGAGCCGAAGGCAGTCGCTTAACCAACTGAGCCACCCAGACGCCCCTATTTTGCCATTTCTATGTACGGCTCTCACTTCCAGTCTGACGGTGCGCAGTCACTGAGATTTTCATAAGCACAGGTGAGAGCCCAGGTAAATGTTATTACTACTCCTACGATTAAGCAGCTTTGTGCAGTCGACAAGCAAGCAACGGCTGAGCACCCACCGCCTCTGAGACATTGCTCTCTGGTAGGTTTCAAACCAGGCAGGAGCAAATGCCGTGGAGTGTGACGAGGGTTATGGTCCGGGGGGACGCAGGGAGGGGCGCTGCTCTGGAATCGGGGGTGCGGCTGGGAGGGCTGAGAGCGGGCCTCACGAGAAGGTGGGGCCTGAAGGGCAAAGCAGCGGCAGGCCCAGCCAGAAGAGAGGCGAGTGTGAGAGCCGCCCTCCTGTCAGTCTCCCCTCCTTCCGTCTTCCGCCACCACCCTGCCCCACAGCGTTTCCCATCCTGAGAGAACTTTCTGAAGTGACTGACTCCTCTGTCCCCTCTCTTCTGCGTCTCAGGGAACTGCAGACGAAAGAGCACCCCTCATACGCACCTAACTGAGGCCCGAGCTCGGTGGAGGAGCCGTGTGAGCTGTCCTGAGCTGGACCCGCCGTGAGGAAACTAGCCGCGTCCTCACAGGCATGTCGCCTGTTGCAGAGAGGAGGGAGGAGACCCCGCGCTGGCTAGTGAGGAGAGCGTTCCGGCAGGAGGTTAAACAACAGACTGACCTGGTTGGCCATTAGGCTTTATAAAATTGTTTTGTTTTCCATGTGTCTAGCAAGTATTTAATAAACTCTTGTATAGTAATTTTTTTTTTTTTTTTTTTTTTTTTTTTTTTTTTTTTTTTTTTTTTT